CTTGTAAAAAAGTTAAAAGAAATGAAATTATTTCTATATTCATAAATAGATCAACTTCATATAATTTTTATTGTATTTAAATAAAATTTACAAAAGAATTTTACAATTGTATTAATAATTATTTAAATAAAATGATCTAGTTAGTTATTAACCGACTAGATTTTTTTTAATATAAAAATGGTAAGACTTTGTTGGTTTTGAGAAGGTAAAAATACAAATTATCGCCGCCCAATCTACTTTCTTGACGAAAATGGTAAAAGCATTGAAAAGGCTGAAAGTACAAAAATTTTACTCAATAAAGAACATCGACCACTTCTTAAACAATATAAGTTTCATCTTGACAAAAACCAAAAAACTTGCACTCCTTTATTACAATTATTATATCCTAACAAACAAATCCAGTTTAAAAACAATTATCCTTTTGATTATCGTAAATGTAATATTATTAAATTTTTAAACACTGATTAGTTTTTAACCAATCAGATTTTTTTTATTTAAATTGTGGTTTAGCTTTAAATATCTATAAAAAGAATCAAAATTTTTTTGACAAATAATTAAAGAAAATTAATTATTAAAGGTAGAGAGCTCCCAACTATATATTGTTTGGTCATTCGTTTTCCTTACTTTATATTAACTCTACTTGATTATAAACAGCAACTTCATGGGTGTAATAGTTTCTGTTCTGGTATTCATAATTGTGATTCATTTATTTGAATTATTTATGCTATAAATCCAGTATGCCTAAATCTACTATAGGTTATTATGCTGTTCGTAAAGGATATAAACTAGGAATTTATATGAATTGGAAAGAATGTAAAGAACAAACTGATTGATATCCTGGTGCTTTGTATAAAAAATTTTATACAAAACAACAAGCACAAGATTATATTGATGAAGAAAAAATTAATGAAAATAAAAAACTTAAAATTTATACTGATGGTTATTGTTCTAAAAATAGAACAAAAGAAGCAAAAGCTAGTATTGAAGTTTTTTTTGGTGATAATGATTTAAGAAATTTATCTGAACATTTACTGGATAAAAGACAAACAAATAATCGAGCAGAAATTTATGCTGTAATTCGTGCTTTAGATATTATTGATAATAATTCAGATGTAATTATTTTTACAGATAGTACTTATGTTATTAATTGTTATAATATAAAAAATCCTAAAACAAATTTTGATTTAGTAGATAGAATGAATGAATTAATCAAAGTTAGAGATGGAGAAACATATTTTAAACATGTAAAAGGTTATTCAGGTATATACGAAAATGAGTGTGTAGATAGATTAGCATTATTAGGTTCAAAAAAAATATATATATCTGAATTTAACTTTCAAACTATTAATAAATCAAAAAATTAATAAAAGATTATTTTAAAAATTAATATTTAATTTAAGTACATTTGCTACAACGATTTGAAGGTGAGGCTGAGAGCCGAACTGTATCATCGATTTCATCATCAATGAAATCAACGATTCGGGAACCTCAAATAAACGTAAAAACACGCAATTTAACAACTACCATACCGTAAGCAATTGGGTTTATAAGCATACAAAATCGCTTGCGATTTTGCAGAAAAGAGCCTTTGTGGCTCTGGAGTGAATTATCAAGATTTCACAAAAATGAGTAGCATTTAATTTGTGGCTTGTTTTAACAAGCCACAAATTCATAAGCACAAGGCATTTGTGAAATCATTTATTAAGAAAAAATATTTATTTTATTTAAATAAATTAAATATGCTAATAATCTTTTTG